GCCTCACTTTATGTGGCGACTTCATTTATCTGCTCTGAGAAATCTGTTCACATTTGCAAATGAAGCCGCCGTCATTTCGGTTTAATTTGAAATTGCTTGTTTACTGTCGGCGCGGCCTCAATTAATTATGTTTTTACCGAAAGGCTCCCAACCTCAGAATATTAATAAGGGGAATAAAATGACAGCCTTTCGAAGGGGCTGTAAAGTTCATTTTTAATTTCTGCTTCTTGGGAGTATTTTCTTTGGGGTCGGGTGTTTGGGTTTCACGCACGCACAGACACACACACACGCAGACACACGCGTGTAGATATATAGATCTAATGAAAAATGGCACCTGTTTCTCTTCTTCTCCAGTCACTTTTTTTCCCTTCCAAGACTTCAGCGCCGGGTCAGGAATGTCTGTAATTATGGAAGCGTCCCCTGACCCCTTCGTCTTCCTCCCTTATTGGCTCTGCAGGGCAGTGTTTATTATCCGAGCCCGGTTAGATGGCCCAGATTAGCTGTGAGCTGTCATACTTGTGGAATGCTTTTTTTACAAGCCTCATTATTGGATGGGACGCCTGAAATTATAATTTTGAACCCCCCCCAACAGCCCCCCAACACCCCTCTTGCCAATAAAGCTATTTTTCTCCAGTACGTGCCGAGTTTTCATTTTCAACGTTGGAGAGTCCTTAGTCTAGCCTTGCTGAATTGGACACCTGCCCCCCGGAAGTGTTGCATTGTAGCACGCAGCATTTGAGCACCCTCCTAACTGCATCGAGAAGAGGGTTTGGCAGCTTGGAGACTTCAACTCCCAGAATTCCCCAACCAGCCTGAGTTTGATCTGGAAAGCCACCTGAGTGGTGGGGGGGGAAGCATCTGAGAGGCTTAACGAGTCTAGCTTGGAGAAGAGAGGCAGAGTTGTGCATTCCCTCGCTGAGGGAGGGAGGGAAGGAAGGAAAGAAGGAAGAGAAGGAGAGAGGTAAGGAAGAAGGGAGGAAGGAAGGGAAGGAAGAGAAGAAGGGAGGAAGGAAGGGAAAGAGAGAGGAAGGGAGGGAGGAAGAGCAGGAGAGAGGAAAGGAAGAAGGGAGGAAGGAAGAGAACTAGAGAGGAAGAGAAGAAGGGAAGGAAGGAAACTAGAGAGCCATGTCTGGGCCAAGATCAGTGAGGAAGGAAGGAAGGAAGAGAAGAAGGGAGGAAGGAAGGAAGGGAAGGAAGGAGAAAGGGTGGGAGGCAAGGAAGGGAGGAAGGAAGGCAGCTAGAGAGCCATGTCTTGGCCAAGATCAGGGAGGGAGGGAGGGAAGGAAGGAAGGAAGGAAGGAAGGAAGGAAGGAAGGAAGCTAGAGAGCCATGTCTTGNGGAAGGAAGGAAGGAAGGAAGCTAGAGAGCCATGTCTGGGCCAAGATCAGTGAGGAAGGAAGGAAGGAAGGAAGAGAAGAAAGGAGGGAGGAAGGAAAGGAAGGAGAGAGGGAGGAAGGAAGGAAGGAAGAGCAGGAGAGAGGAAAGGAAGAAGGGAGGAAGGAAGAGAACTAGAGAGGAAGAGAAGGGAGGGAAGGAAAGGGAGGAAGCTAGAGAGCCATGTCTGGGCCAAGATCAGTGAGGAAGGGAGGGAGGGAGGGAGGGAGGAAGGAAGGAAGGAAGGAAGGAGAAAGGGTGGGAGGCAAGGAAGGAAAGAAGGAAGGAAGGAAGGAAGCTAGAGAGCCATGTCTGGGTCAAGATCAGTGAGGAAGGAAGGAAGGAAGGATCCATGAGTCTTCCTGGGGAAGGGATGAGGAAGACAGATCTCAGGGGATCTCCGCTGTCCAGTGAGGCCAGGCCTGGGCTGCATTTTGGCCCCCGCGTCCTCCCTGGGCAGCCAGCGCAGCCGTTCCCTGGCCTACCCTGGAGGCAGATAAATTACCCTGACGCTGCACCCATTCAGAGGCAGCGTGCAAATCATAGGCGGTCATAATTGGAAGGGAGAGGTTTCAGACGGCTACCCTGTGAGCTACAAGACATCTATACAAAGGGGAGACAAAGTAGGAACGGTGGAGATTAGATACAGCGCAGGTAGATTACGCCAGAGCTCCCGATAAATTACAAGCAGTTAGAGGAAGTGGAAGCCCGGAGATAAATCAGACCTGCGAGAAATGGGGGATCTGCCGCTCTGTGTTCGAGGAATCTCTCCCTCTTCTTTCTCCCCCCCCACCCCCCTTGTATGCCCGTCCTAATTTAATCATCCTTCTCCTCTTTCCTTGCACAGTGACTCAGCTTCAGACCACTTTAGCCTCCGTCCAGGAGCTGCTAATTCAACAGCAGCAGAAAATCCAGGAGCTGAGCCAGGAACTGGCTACCTCCAAGGTAATCTCGCTTTCCGACTGACCTACAACCTTCCCAGCAATTTGCACCCAAATCCCAATTAAGACGGGCTGGAAAAGTTCCAGACGGAGCACGACGGCCCTGTTCCGTAAAGGCGGAACGAAACCTCCACCTCCAGTAGCAGTCTAGCTCTCACTGCCAGCGCCGACCGAAAAAATCCCCAGGGAATCTGGGAATGGGATTAGTGGAGAAACAGCCCCAAAATTACTAAGTGGTCCCCTTAACTTCCATCTGGTAGTTTTTCTGACCGTTAGATCAATTAACCGGTGGAACAACCTGCCTCCAGAAGCGGTGGATGCTCCAACACTGGAAGTTTTTAAGAAGAGACTGGACAGCCCTTTGTCTGAAATGGTATAGGGCAGGGGTAGGCATCCTCAGCTCTTTTATGACTCGTGGACTTCAACTCCCAGAATTCCTGAGCCAGCCAGGCTGAGGGGAAAGGGAGTGGTTTCCAAGCTGAGCCACGCTGGCTCAGGAATTCTGGGAGTTGAAGTCCACCAGTCATGAAGGGGGCCATAATTCTCCCATGCTGGCTCAGGAATTCTGGGAGTTGAAGTCCACGAGTCATGAGGGGGCCATAGTTCCCCCATGCTGGCTCAGGACTTCTGGGAGTTGAAGTCCAAGGGTCATGAAGGGGGCCATAATTCTCCCATGCTGGCTCAGGAATTCTGGGAGTTGAAGTCCACGAGTCATGAGGGGGCCATAGTTCCCCCATGCTGGCTCAGGAATTCTGGGAGTTGAAGTCCACGAGTCATAAAAGAGCCAAGGTTGCCTACCCCCGGTATAGGGTTTCCTGCTTGAGCAGGGGGTTGGACTAGATGACCTCCAAGGTCCCTTCCAACTTTATTATTATTATTATTATTATTATTATTATTATTATTATTATTATTACTATTATTGTTGTTCTTATTATTATTATCATCATCATCATCATCATCACTTAGAAGCCAGGAACCCTCTTTCATGTTTTATTTCATGGCCCCCCTTTAGCTGTCTTGGGTGGCCTGCAGCCAGGCAGGAAGCAGGATTTGGGTCTGAAGTGTTGCTATTAAGAGCACATGTCATGCTTTAAGGAAAAAGCATGGGGCTTCAAGGATGGGGGAAAAGTTCAAAAGTCTTTCCTCCCCCCCCCCTACACACACAGACACACACACTTCTTAATATAGCAGCACTCCGCTCTGTGATCAAAAACTTTCTATGTGCACACACACACACAGAGAGAGCGAGAGAGACTTGGCTGAACCCATCCCCTCTAGAGTAAAAACAAAACAGGAAAAGTAAGAGTTCTCACAGCTGCAGCCTGAGTTTTCCTATCCACTTTTCAAATGACTGGCGGCATGTTATAAGAGTTAATTTAAAAAAAAAAAAGGGGGGGGGAGGCTTGAAGCAATTAAAAGAATCTACACCCCGTCTTTAAAAAAAAAGATGGGGAGAAGGAGGAGATTGCAGGCCAAGCTCCAGACGTGACATTTTCCACTCGGTGTGCGTCTGTTGGTTTCCGCGTGTGTTTGAAAGAGGCTGCCTTAAAAAGGCCCAGATGTCAGGCTTTCTTTTCTGAAACCCTCCAGCATCTGGCGCCAGATGTGCCTTGGCAGGCCAGCCAGTGGGAAGCGCTCTCTCGTTAATGTACTTTGGTAGTTTTCAAAAGGGCCAGGAGAGCCAAAACGGTGGCGGCGAGGGGTGGGGTGGGGGAGATCTGGCATTCCCCGGGGACCACATCTGTGCCTGCGTTTGCCAGCTGCCACAACGCCAGCCAGAGCAGGCTCTGGATCCAGCTGTTTAGCCTTACAGGAAGCATCGGCAAAGTGGAGGATCTTTTGGAACCGCAGTTCCTCTCATTCTGAGCTGGGCACCGGGTGGCATTTTTCAGACAGGTGTGCCCTGCCTCCCCGGGCATCTGCTGCTGACTCAGGCACCTCTCTTTGTTGAGTCTGGCACCTTAACCACAACACCACACCGCCTCCCCCCCCTCCAAGGACCAACAAGCAGAAATAAACTCTGCTGGATCAGATAGCAGATCCCCCCCCCCTTTGCAAACTGATTGTCAACTCTTCTGGATGTTAGCTTGTGTGGTCCGTTGATAGATGGTCTATATAGGAATATGCAGCATTGCCTGCTGGACCAACTCAGATTTATTTACGACAGGTAGACCTCCACCGATGAGCACAACAGCCCAGAATTTCTGTTGCTAAGCAAGAGTTTTTAAGGGACTTTCTCCCCCCTCTCCCCCCCCATTTTACGACCTTTCTTACCACATTGTTAAATGAAACACTGCAGTTGTTACAGTTAGCGACACTGGGATCCCGTTGCAACCGTCTTAAGTACATGCCAGTTGCCAAGCCTCTGAATTTCGATCACGTGACCCCCCCCCGGGGATGCTACAGCGATCCTAAGTGTGCAAAATGCTCCTACGTCCCTTTCTTCAGCGCCGTTTCAAACAGACAAGTGGTTGCAAATCAAGGGCAACCTGTAGTTGGTATGCCTCCTATACGGACCCGGATGGGGGAGAGGCGATCTTCCCATTTAATCTGCCTAGCAACCTGTGGTCGGGTCGAAGATCCCCTCTGTCGGAGGATTAGCAACAAAGAGATGCTTCTGTAAGTCCACCAAGGGCCCCCAAAAGGTAACTCTTTGCTTGCTGGGCCAGGAGGTGGGGTTTACATTAAACCACCTTAAGACACATTCATCTAATCCTTGCTTTTAAAGCCGGTCAAGACTTCACTTCATCTAGTGGCAGGAAAACTTTTTTCTTTCATATTTATACTGTCCCACAAAGCATTACCAACCCCTTTGTCACACCACCCACCTCTTTTGGCTTTTGATAAAAAGGGAACAGTTGGTGCTGGTCTGGGGCCTATTGGTGTTTCCTCTAGGAGGGGAAAAATGTAGATTATTTTTATGAAGTTCCCTGGAAAAGTAGCCACTGCCGGACACACGATTGAGGTTGTATCATTTAAGTAAGAGATTTTTTTCCCCCCTGAGTTTTGACTCCAATCCCTTCTTTGCCTCTTAGGCCACCACATCGACCAACTGGATTTTGGAATCTCAGAGTATCAGCGATCTGAAGTCGGAGATCTATTCGCTAAAAGGGCTCCTCCTAAACAGGTAGGGAATAAAAAAAATGTGGAGGAGGGAACAGAGCCAGACCTTGATCCGGCAAGATAAATAAAAATTCCTCTGGGTCCATCTTTTGAAGACACAATTCACAGACTCGCAACCCCTTCACAATAGCTCCCGGTGCCGCCGTTTCATCCATCATCCGGTTTTTAGGCTACCAGTTCAGCGGCTTTACGCAGTTTATAAGAGGCCTCTAACAGTCATTTATTCATCCGGTTATTTTAGATATACTCAGCTTTGGGGCTCCTGAGTGAGATGAAATTGAAATGGAACCATTTTAAAACAAATTAGATGCACATCAGATGTACAGAAGAAAATAAGTTTCTGCGTGCTGTCTTGTTATAGGAGAACTTAATAAGGTTGTCACCGAGTGAAGGAACGTTCCAGTTTGACAAGCAAGGGCTCCTGCCCAGGGCACAGGATTCACCTGTGGAACTCTGTGCCACAAGATGGGAGGGTAGCCACCTTTCAAAGGAATTTAAGCAACGTAAACGGCCCGTAGGTATCCACTGCCTCGCAAGGAACAAGGATGCTTGACTAGAAGGCCTATGGAATCAGTGAAAGTTACAGCCCTGGATTACTTTAATTAACTGGGGGCTTAGGCTAGAGTAGATGATCCTCAGGGACCCCTCCACTCACAGCTTCCCTCTAATTAAAGTAATTAATGAGATTTGGTCCAATCATGGATTTTTTTTCGCTGAAGAGTGAATCCCAGGCCCACGGTGGGAGCCGTCCAAATATGGAGGTGCTTCAATTTGGCTGGTCTCTTTTTTTGCGCTTCCGTGGTGCTTTTTGCTCCAGAAGAAACACAGACACACTAAAAAAAAAAACCTGCAGTGCAGTTTCTTAAAATGTTTTAATACATTTTAACAGCCAGGCTGAAAATGACAGTCGCCTCTCCTGGGGCTGGGGGCACCTTGGGGGGGGGGTTCAGAAAAGGGGTCCTTTGTTATTTGCCAAATTCTTTTATCGCACGGACTTTCTCGCAGGGGAAGATGGCGCTGATGAGCCGTGGGGGGGAGAGAGAGGGGCCCCCCGAGACAGCCCCCCCTTCCTCCCCACCCCAACCCCCCCATTTCAATATTCCGTTCCTGCCAGTAGCGTCAAGGCGAGCAGCACAAGGGCAGCCGTGCTGTATCTGCGTGTCCGCGGGAGGACATCTTGTCATTAAGGAGAAATTCATTTATTGTTAGTAGGACTGGCGATGTGCGGCTGGTGGTGTGCTAATGCAGCTGGGGAGATAAGTGCTCTTGGAAAATATATTTCTTAAAATAAATAAACAGAGCCAAGCCAAGCCCTCCCTCGCTGCCAAGCAGGAGGCCGTGTCACGGGATCCAAGAAAAAAGTCTCTAAATTGAATTTCTGATAGCATTTACGATACTGGTGAATAATGGGGGCGGCACTGGCTCCTTCCCGTGCAGAGGGGAGGGGGCTTCTTCCCAAGCAGAGGTCTGGAGTGGCTGGGGGGGGGGATCAGGCATTTGGGGAGGTTCCTTACATGGGAAGGACTTCTAGGTGATATTCCAGGGAAGCCTGGAGCAAAAGAAGGAAATGCCTGTTTGAGGAAGGGAACCCCCCAAGGTCAGTTGGAAAAAAGGCTGGATGTCCTGAGCTGAATTCTGCCCTGTAGTGTGAGCCCACCACGGCCTCCAGTGGGGCCCTTTGATTATTGGTCACGGCCAACTCGCTACGGCCAACTTACTACGGCCAGCTCTCCAGTCAATTTCCAAACTCGCATTTTTCTTTTAAATGCCCATGGATGTCCTTCCCCGGACATCTGTAAAGAAGAAATATGTGTGTTTGTGTGTGTGTGTGTGTGTGTGTGTAGTTCCGGAGATGACTTAACTATTGCAGTTATTGGATTCTTAGCCTGAGTAATCGAACCGTGTCTATCCCAGAACATTCTTTCGTTCTGCGTCTGGAGGGATATACCTCTTCAACAAGCTGACCAGCTTCCTTTTTTTCCTCCCCTTTCTTCTCCAGGAGACAGTTTCCCCCCTCGCCCTCAGCTCCCAAAATCCTGTCCTGGCAGATCCCGGTCAAGCCCACTTCCCCCTCCAACCCGGTGACCAATAACCACAACACAAGCAGCGACATCTCTCCGGTCAGCAACGAGTCCAACTCGCCTTCGCCCGTCAAGGAAAACCACAGCCCCGAGGGGACCACGGCGGCGGGCTGCCACCTGGCCAGCCCCGAGGAAGAAGGGGAGGCGGTGATCGACCTGAAGGGCCAGGTGAGGATGGAGGTGCAAGGGGAAGAGGAGAAGCGGGAGGAGCAGGCCTGTATAGAGGAGGAGGAGGAGGAGGAAGAGGAGGAGGAGGAGGAGGACAACCACGTGGACGAAGAGGATGTCCAGACGGAGGATCGGCGAGGAGGCGATGGGCAGATAAACGAACAGGTGGAGAAGCTGCGGAGGCCCGAAGGTGCCAGCAACGAGAACGAAATTGACTAGCTGGGGGCGCTACCGGAACCCCCCACCCCACCCGCCCATCTCGGTGGTCTTCACCAAGGCTCTGATCGTCCCCTGGCCTCACTTCCCTGCTTCAGACCGAGTCATCCTTGTGATCTCGCCCGCCAGGCAGGTGACGGGCCCTCCCCTCCCTCTCCACCTCTCCCCACTGCAGGACCCCAGCCACACACACACACACACACACACACACACTCCAGGTCTCCCCTCGCTCTCCCTGTGAAGCCAAACCTCTAACTGTGGACCCAGCCGGTTCTCTCATTCCCCCAAACTAAGATACCCCCCCATCCACTCATTCAGCTGCTTAGGAAGTACAAAGGTTTCAGTTCGCGGGTGTGGGAGGGGACCCCCTCATTTCCACCTGTCCTTCACTTCGGGTGGGGGGGCTTCTGGCCTCCCCCACTGCCCCTCTTTATTTATTGCGTTCAGCCTGGAGAGCCGAAGGGTGCGGCTTCCGCTCTTTGCTTTGCTGTGGGGGGGTCTTTGCTGAGCAGCTGCTGCTGATGCCCGTGTGCGAGAGAGAGAGTTGGGGGGATTCCAGCCCCGTGGAAACCTCTCCCCCCCCTCCCCGCTTGCCTTCTTTCTTGCACCCCTCTCTCCCTCTTCCTGCTTTTCCGCCGTCTCAGAGGGTCTGGGGGCTTCCTGCAGCTCTCCAGGGGTGCTGTTCTTGCCTGGGGAGACCCCCCGCTTAGCACGGCTCCCCCTTTCCTCCCTGCGACGCTAGGCGGTGGCGGTCCTCCGTGGCTCAGTCCCCAAATGGAGCCATTTCGGGGCCCTCCATCTTTCCCTCGTGGATGGGGGCCTGTGTGTGCCCCCCCTCCTCCTCCCCACTCTCCCGCCTTCAGCCTGGTTGGGTGGGAAAAAAGGAACCAGTTTTCGAAACCCGGTCTTCTGGCGTTGTGTTCTCGGGTGTTGCCGCGGTGTCGGTTTCCATTCCCTTCATTAAAAGAGCCTCGAAACCAGTAACCAACGTCACGAGACTCCTCGTCTTTGCTCCTCGCCGACCGAGAGGAAACGGCGGAACGTGCTCCTCTGTGTGATCCTGTATAGAATTCCAGTATAAAATATGACTGTATATAATTGTAATAAATATGAGTTACCACTGTTTCACGCTGGGTGGTGGCTTGTCTGTCTCTGGCTTCTTTTCTTTCCTTCCTTCCTTCCTTCCTTCCTTCCTTCCTTCCTTCCTTCCTTCCTTCCTTCCTTCCTTCCTTCCTTCCTTCCTTCCTTCCTTCCTTCCCTCCCTTTTCTTCCATTATTGGCTGTTTTCACTCTAGGAAAGAAGCGAATAGCTCACAAACCTGGCAGGGGGATTGTGTTGCTGTTGGGTCCGTCAGAAATTTAACCGATTATTTTAGTCCCAGCGGCTGGAATTCCACTTATGGAGACTTCTTCTCTTTTATTTCTCTTTTAACTGGGTGGTTTCTTTTCTTCTGGTTCCGGATGATTGTGGAAAGCGAGGCAGCGTAAATCAAGACGCCCCTGAAGGGTTAGCTTGTGAAAACAGATGGCTCTTATTCTCACCTGGGACAAAGGAGTTGTCTTTTTGTGAGAATTTCTTTTTAAATTTCACGGACAAAGTTATAAAGGGAGACTAGGATAGCTATTTCCAGCTTTTTAGCCCTCATCAGCTAGCCATACCCTTCTGAGATGGCTAGCTGAGGAGAGCTACGAAGCTCGAAATCGCTGTTCTAGTCTCCCTTTAATTCTTTTGTCGGTAAAATTTTAAAAGAAAATTAACAGAGAAATAGCAGAATGCCTGCGAAGGCTCCTAGAATGGGGCTGAAAGGCAAAAACGGAAGCAGCTTGCTCCGTCCCATATTTGGGTAGATCAGGTCGCTCTGAAAAAAAAAAAACCCCCACTTGATTTGTGTTTTTGCAGTTTGTCTGAACAGGCTATAAAAAAGGGGGGCTTTTAAATCAGCCCGGTTGATGTGAGTTGGTCTGCCAGGATGCGACTCAGGTCACGTTTCATCCTCGGCCATCGTTGTCAGTTTGTACAGCTTAGAATCTTGCTTAGTCGGCGAACCAAAGTAAGTGTGAAGTCACCCCCTGACAACCTGTTGTTAAGTTGTGGTTTGGTCACCAGTGGTTTTTGAGGCTTCTTCAGTCTGGCTGTCAAACAGCTTCCCCTGATGGTGCCTTTGCTCTTTTTTTCCTCTCCGAAAAGTAAAACATCCAGTTTACTTTTTGGGGAACCCAAGTATGATTTGATTTAAATTTATCACCTGTGCAAGGGGAAATGAAGTCCAGTGGGTGGGTGGGTGTGCCTGCCTGTGCAACTGCGTGCAAGGAAGGTGGCACGGCCACACAACTCCTAAGCTGACCGACAGATTGAGCCAGAACTTTAGAAAGCAAATTTCTGGCTAGGAGATTGTGGGAAGAATAATAATAATAATAATAATAAAAAAAAAACAGGAGCCAGGCTCTGCTGAGATGGCACAACTTTTAACAGATCCAATAATTACTTAGGAGAAATCCTTTAAAGGCAGAGACCCAAAAGGCCGCCAGAATAATGGCCAATTTCTTTGATTGAATTATATTTAGGAACGGAAGGAGTGGCCGCGCGTGTGCGGCAGGTCAAATCCTGGGACATTGATCTTGCAGCTGTCTGCTTTGACTGGCAGGTGAACTCCAGGGGGACCCCCCCCCCCACCACCACCAAGGTTTTCTCCCCCAAACCGACTCCCTGCAAAGTGCTGGCCTTGACGCGCCGAGCCGGGATCTCCGATCTGCAGCACTCTGCGCGGGGCCCAGAGGCCACACGGTGCAAGGCAGAATAAAAATGGCAAATTTTGGCCTGGGGGAGCCCAAGAAACTCCCCCAGGTGAGGTGCTCCCTTCTCTTCCTGCAGAATTCCTCTTGGGAGTCGAGAAAGGGGGGGTTCCTGGCGGTCCTCCCCCCCCTCCTCCCTGCCAGCCCTGTGTCTGGTACAGGGTGACATATCCCGGCTTGCGGGGCGAGCGCGCATGCGAGAGAGAGAGAAGGGACCGTTCCATTACTGTATTTAGACCTGTTATTGAATGTGGTGATTTCCCATTCCTTAAATGGATGAAAAAGGCCGGGCGCGTCTGTCTTCCCTCGCTCTCCCTCTCCTTTCATGTTCACGAGGAACCTTAGATTTTGCTAAAAGAGGGCAAATTTTTTAAGAGGGCTCCCCAGCCTTTTCCCTAGATCCCCCCCCCCCCCCCCCCCCCCCCCTTTTTTTTTTTTTCACCTCCTGCTAGCCAAGAATCCTTGTCGGATGCAAACAACAGGATCAAAGGCGGAGAGGGGTACAACGAGCAGGGAAAAAACTGACTTTTCAGCATCTGCCTAATAGAGAGAGAGAAGAAACAAGGGAGGGGGGGACAGAAACAGGCCAGCCCGGGTGAAAAAATTTTTGGAGGGGGGCGACTGCAAGGAAGCAGGGGGGCTTTGGAAAAAGAGGGCAAGCCAGGTTGTGAACTTGGCCTCTGTTTTATATTGGATTGCGAAGTGGCTTATTAAAGACCCAACGGAGCTGGGTGGCCTGCATCTCTTTTTTTTTTTTTTTCCCCCCCTTGTGTGGACCAATTTAAATCACAGGCTGTCCTTGGAATGAATTATTCAAATCTCCTGGCAAATCTATTTTTTTTTATTTTCTATTTTTTGCTGGAAATGGAAACCCAGCTTCCTTTTTTTTGACTTTGGATTTATTTTTATTTTTTTCCCCCTCGTACACAGCATCGGCCTTTGCTCCGGCTGTTTGCATTTGGCGGTCGGCGTAGTAAAAAACAAAAACCCAAAAACAATTGCACGGGTTTTGTTTTCGAGAGGCAGCACCCAATAATTAACGGCAGGGCCTTTTTTTTAATAAAGCAGAGCCCCGAATGTCGTCCCGGGAAGTGAAGCATTTGTGAGGCAGGTCAAACCGTAGATGGGAAGGTGGTTAGTCAGAAAGGCAACCGTTTACATTGCACGCAAAGCAAACAAACAAACAAACAAACAAACAGGCTTTGTTCCCAACTAGAAACTATTTATTGCATTTGGTGTGTTGGTTTGTAAGTCTTTGTTGATTTGTAGGCTGCCCTTTGTTGAGGGGTGCAAAAGCACGTGCTGAGTGCTCGCTTTCTCCATTTTTACCCCTAACCACCACCTTGGAAGGTAGCTTGGGGCTGAAAACATAGATTTGAATCAATTAAACTGAGGTTAATCTGCCCTTAGCAGCCATGCTGGTTACTGAAACCCCTGCTGGGGTCACCTCTCTGCTGTAGTTGCCTCTGATACCTGTTTGCACAGAAATTGGCCTTTAAGGCTGCTGCAAGAGGGGTGAAACTATAAACCATGATTGATAAACCCCAGATAAACCGTAGATGGCCATTTGCTAGCCCCCAACCCCCGCACAATTTCTTGGGGGGAAGTTTTGTGAAACAAAGGCGGATATAACAAAGCCTTAAACTCGCTTGGTTCTTTGCATGGTGTGTGTGTGTGTGTGTTTTACCTACACAGGACTTGGGGACCATCAGCCATGCTTTACGTTGTAATGCTTGCCGTCCTGACACCTGTCCTGCCGAGCTGCAGGTGTGGCTGTTGCACTGCCAGGTTTTTAAATGTTGTGTGCTTGTTTCGGTTTTTAAAAAACCAGCATCCCCGCTGCAGGGTGTGTGTGTGTGTGTGTGTGTGTGTGTGTGCGCGCGCACAGAGAGGAAGGAAGGAGGAATCTGGTGTCTGCTGCGAATCCTGACCTTGCTGCACCTTTTGTAATGGTGTAGGGTAATGGTGTAGGGTAATGGTGTAGGGTTCCTGCCTGGGCAGGGGGTTGGACTCGATGACCTCCAAGGTCCCTTCCAACTTTATTATTATTTGTAGTTGCCCCGGCACAATGGTCCATCCAGGGCTGCCTCTGTTGGATTTCAGCCTGTGGCCTGGTGCTTTAATGGCCCTTAAGTAGCCAGAGTAGGGAGGGCCAGGGACGTTCCCTTCTGAATGACATTTGGCTTTGCCTCTTTCCCGCCCCCCCTCCC